AAAATTAAAATTAGTCATAAATTTAAAAGTTGCGATAACTTTTTTTTTGGTCCAATACTTTTGACCGGGGAGTGTATTTATTGATTACATAATACAAATAAAGAAATAAGAATCGCTACAATTTATAATTAAAAGTCACATTTTTAAAATGATAATTATCAACAATTGATGGATTTGACGGCTTTAGAGTACATTTAAAGTTTTCATAAAGCAAGTTGTTGTTTTATAAACATAAAAGAACTCATTAAATTTTTGCGATCAGTAATTCCTACTAATTATGACCAGATATTTTAATAGATTTTCTTGTATCTTTTATAAAATTTACTACGTTGTCATTATGATATTATAATTATATGTACAAGTTTCGCAAAAGTAGTTTAATAAGAAAATAATAAATTTTTAGAGGTTGTGAAATCCGAAGAGAAGGGAGCAAAATTAATTTTAGCAAAAATAGATTTTAATGAGTTGCACGTAGTTCACACTAATAAAATAAACTTTATTATCATGGAAGTTATACTCTAGATAAAACAGCTACTGTGAAATAATATATTACATATTATTCGATTTATAATTAATAAAATACTGAGGCAACGACATTTCATGACATAATTAAATGTTTAAATCCAATTAATAGACAATTAAAATTCTTAGATGATGTACGTAAACAACGATTAAATATTACAACAGTCAAAATAATAAAAAAGCCCTACCTTGAACACAAAAAGAAAGTGGAATTATATGATATATAAAACGAAACTTGTGTAAAAAAAAATATATATATATATATATATAAATTGTAAAATTTGTACAAATGGTCTTTTAAGTTATTTATTAATTTTTGTTTAAATAGAGAATGATCGTAATTCTTACTTATTCAAAATCAAGAAGTTATGGATATACCTGATCCCATAAACTCTTTCAATTGCTCTGGCTTTTCGTTATTATTCTCATCAATTGCTACATAATTCGCTAAAACAAATGTTTTGATTTCCACGTTCAAACCTTTGCTTGCAGACGGTGAGATCAACATGGTTATTCACCAACGATTCAAGATTAGCATGTTTCTTTACCATAAACAAAAGCTGATACAAGCAAGTCTGGCAAATTGATGTTGCTATTAGGAATGGACGCGCTTGCTGTTGGCAAATACCTGAATTAAAAATGATCAACTAACTTTATGTTTCTTAACGGTCGAGTTTAGCTTCCAATGGTAACGCCTGTTTTTGGCTGATGAATTATGAGGTAGATGATTCATGGAAAAAGTATAGATACAAAAGTAACACTTACTAGGATGATAATATTTTATTGTGGTAACTGAAATCTGGTGTGGTAAATTTTACTGCCTCACAGAAGTTCAAGTACATGTATCCAAACTTCATTATATCTCTAATCAGAAAAGAACAGTAAGTAATATTATTGAACTACGCTTACAAGTTGAGCTAATATTTTATATTAAGTCACTTATCATATACATCCGCTGTTTACAAATGGTGTTATTTTTTTATTAGGTTCTTCAGTAATAGTGCCACCAATAAAATTATTTCCAATAATCCGTTTGCAAAATAGCCAGAAAGCTATCCAAATTTACAATGATGAAGGAATGTTGATATCAAAAGCAGCAATGTCAGGTGTGACATGTGACCAAGCCGCATCGATGAAGTTCATAATGTCCATGATAACTGAATTGAAGCCATTTATTAAAAGATTTATCATTCGTACATTCGTATTCACTTTTAAGCTTAAACAATTTTGTAATATTATTTTCTTAATGTTACCTTTGATAACATGCCCTCTATAATAATAATTGAAACAAGGAATATACAAAAGAACTTGAGAAAATTCGATTCGATTTTACATGTCAACTCTCATTCAAGGAATACCTTCGAATCTTGTTATAAATGCGTCTATGTTTATAACCAAACCAGTAAAAAATATTAAATATCGAATCCCTTTGTGTTTATATCTTACCAATAAATCTTGGATGACTTAAACTTCAGAGTCACGCTTCCAATTGGGCTATTATTTTTCACAAAGGCAGGTCTAATTTATTTTGCCCAGAATCTTGTTCCTCGGTCTCAAATAAAAAAAAATGTACATTTAGATATTGAAAACGTTTATCTGAAAACCTAGTCTTGAGTTATTACCAAAAATATCGCTTCACTGTCAATTGAACTTATAATGCAGTAATTTATGAACTCGGTAATAGATTTTTATTGGAAAAATGGTATCACATAGCTTATACCCTTTCTGAATCTGAAAAGAGATTAGACATCTACATTAACAGTGAATGGGTTGGATACTATATTGTATCAGAATGTATAAACGGAAAAAGTTGTCTTCAATGATGGACAATTGTAATTGTTTTGTAATAAAGTTTTTGGACTCTATAGCTAATTAAATTCTTATACTCGCATTTCGTTTGTAAAAATAATTATATTATGATATTAGAATTTGATTTTCGATATTTTAATAAAACTCCACTCATTACTGTACAGTTAATTTAACATAAAAAAAAAAATTTTTAAGTGGCGCAAATTAGATTCGATGACGATTTATTTTAAAGTACGCATTATATGAAAATGTTACCTTCATAATAATGTGAACAATACGGATTTGGAACGTGACAGATATGTTAGATTCTCAGGATAATAATTTACTAGAAACGATAAACAATACCACCACGTTTTCTGATTTATGCAACAAATCCATATTCCGAATCCAATATGTTATAAAAAATTTTTCGGTAAGCCCCTGATCCAGGTTTAAACAGGTTTTTTTTTTCTTTAAAAAAAAAAAAAAGTAAATTTCCTAATAAGTAAAAATTAACGAACGTCAAATGTCATCAAAATTATGGCGAAATGTGGATCGGGCAACCGCGAATTTTAAGAAAAAATGTTTTTGCCTTAAGATCGAAAGATAAAATCAATAAAAAAAAAAATTCGGTCAAAATAATATTCAGAACTTTTATAAAAATTTATAGGCTTTTTCACTGCGACGAGAAAATTCTCATTGATGACTCTGACTCAAAAGCACGAGATCATTATGCAATCGAGGTGGTTAAATTTTTTAATATTTGCTAAATTAAGTAATAATAGATATGGGATGGACTAAAATATATTAGTTATCCAACGGAACTTACATCTTTTTTTCTTTTTCTCTTCGTACTTCTCATAATTAAACAACATTTTCCAACAACTTTCTGAATTAAAACTTTTCGAACGAGCTTTTCCAACATTTTCGTGCTATAACAAGGTATTTGTAGTGGTTTTCCATCCTGGTTACGAGCTCAACAATATTCGCGAAATATTGTTGACCTACAGTTTACAGTTCGAATACTCGGGATGTTCATTTAAGTATTAACCCAGTGCTATAGCGTAATTATCTTTACGAGGTCTTACGTTGACTCTTAAGATCTGACTCCCAACCGCCCTAAGCACGAATTCCTTACTTTTTCAAAAATACCTAGATTAAAAGTCAAATTTTGCTTTTTTTTTATTATTTTAATAGGTATGTCGGCGAAGCTATGCAGTTGGAACTCTTTTCACTGTGGAAATTTATTTGTACGCAATCTGTGTCACCCAACCTCATTAAGCACGAATTCCTTAACCTTTCAAAATACTTAGATTAAAATCTAACATTTTTTTTATCATTCTAATAGATCTTCTGTTCCTGTTTCTCTTCCTTTCCCCCCTGTTTTTTCTCTTCTCTTTCCGCCCTTCCTAATACTACAACATATCGTTCTCCTCCTTCCCTTCTTCTTTAAGTTCATCCCCTTATTCATCCCTTCTACTTCTCCATTTCTTCTTTTTTTTTTTAATTCTTCTACTCCCTCCTTTACCCTTCGCATTTTTGGCCGTCCCTTCGTCTTCTTAGGCGACCGGAGCCGATGGATCTTGATCCACCAGGCATTTTTATCGAAACCATTTATCCCACCTAATCAGTGCCTTAACCAATGGATCTTAATCCTCCTAGTATCTATGTAGCCATTGATTATGGTCTTTACCCCTTCCTCTCCGTTTTAACTGGCCACCACTCCTTTTTTTTGCGTCTTGGCTGGCATATTTAAAAAAATATAAAAAAAATCATTTTTTAATTTTCACTGGGTGTTTATTTACTGTATATTTGATAAGCATGATCTATTATATGATGTTGGGCGTTTCGTTTTTCCTTTTTGCAATTAAAATGTTCCCCCTTTGGCCACTTCATCTGTATTGTTTTTTATTTTTAGTTTAGAATTTATTTTTATTTATTTTCTATATATAAAAAAATTATTATTATTATTTATGTATTTCAATGATGTCTTGAGGTGAATTTTTTTATTTATTTTTTTAAATTTATAACCTATTATATTTCGTCTTAACATTTTTTTTTCATCTCAAATGAGCTATCATATTTGATATGTGGTGGTTCAAATTTTCTTTACCTGAGTGAAGCTTGCTACATCCACGCGGTGTTCAGGAGAAATGCCTATCAGCTATAGTTTGAATTATATCTGGCTAAGCGCAAGTTTTATGTCCTATTAAAGTGGTAATTGCATAATAATATTTGTAAATACTAAAAAAAATTCTTTTTAATATTATTACACAATAAACGAAAAATTATCAAGAAAATCTTCCTGATCTAATTGAAAAAAAAGTAAATTAAAACGTAAAATATTTTTTTTTTATAAAAAAAAAATATTTATAAATGCATTTTCTTTGTCGTCAGTATAAACGCAATTTTATTAAATTTTAATATTTTTTTGATTGAAAAGGGGTTTTTACTTTTTCTCATTATAAAATTCAGAATATAAATTAAAAATTTATAATGGCGTATGACAAGTTTTACCGGAATTATCACAAAATTTACTTGCATGTTTAAAAGATAATAGAAGTTGGAATGGATCAAGTATTTCGTGCCCATTTGATAATTTTAAATTATTACACGGTCCATTAGGATTGTGCGGAATTTAATGTACTGATATTTTTTAAATCGTACCTGATATTTGTTTGCTGATTGACATTCTATTAATATTGGTACACGCACTAATCCTAATAGACAGTATAATAATATTGTTATTGAACGGGTTTATATCGATCTTAGACCGATATTTTAACACCCCGTTCAATAACATACAATTATCGTTCTCCATATTTGCAATGAGTTTGTCCACAAACAAAAAGAAAAATGATGGAACTTTGGTACATATTTATTTACCGAAAAATCTGCCTGAAAGTTTTCATGTAATCTTGAGGTAGCTTTAAATCGCCAAAAAATGGGTTTCAGAGACGTAAAACGAGGGCAAAGATATTTATTAATTTAGTTTTATATCGCAGAATAATCAATATCTATTGCATAACCAAATTGAGAGAAATCATGACAATTATTTCGATCATATCATACGGACTTTTTTATTTTATTCTTTCTAAAGAGATATTGATCGTAAAACTTTCAAGCTTGCGAAAAATTTATTTCATTTACATTCTCAAGCATCAAACGTGCGTGCATCCAGTGTTGGCAAATAACCTTGAAATGACATTAAATGACCCCAAAATGACATCATTTTTATTATAAATTTCAAGTCAAAATGACCAAAGGTCATTTAAAAAATAGTAAATGACCTTACAATTTGCCATCACTGATACCTTTTTTTGTAAAAATTGAGAATTTCAATTTTCCATTATTTTTGATCGCGGAATTTTAAAATAAAATAAATCAAAAAATAATTTCGAAAAAAAAATTTTCTTTTTCTTTTT